AGCGCTGTCCGAAGACGTCTCCGTGGTCATGTGGCCAGCATGACTAGACGCTGAGGAGCACAGAACGCTGTGACTTTCCCACCAAAGCGGTAGCTATTTATCTACTTGCAATTTCTTGCTTTTTTAAAAAACAATTTTATTAGGATATAATAATAAGTAAAATTTTACGTCATATAACAAACTTTTCATATCCTTTTATCCAAATATCTCCCCCCCTTCTGACTTCCCACAGTGCTCAAACCTCTATTACATTCTTGAATTTTTTCTCCTTTTCCAATTCTTTAACAACATAATTCTTTCAGGTAACGTTTCTTTTTATCTGTTTATCTATATATGTTTAAATTTAATCTAAGTGTCCTTCCAACCTTAATAATTGTCAAAGCAAAATAAATTGTTTTTTACATCCTAGTATTTCTCCAAGTAGTCTTTAAAGTCTTTCTAATCTACAAAAAAATCTTCTGCTTCTTGATCTTTAAGCTTTCTCGTCATTTTGTCCATCTCAATCATAAAAAGTAACTTTTTCAACCATTCCCAGATATCGGGAGTTCTTTCTTGCTTCCAACATTGAGCGTATATCATTCTGGCAGTTGTAATAATATACCACATTAAAGTCCGTTTTGCAATATTAACTTCCTCCATTTTAAGTCCCAAAAGGAACACTATCAATTTCTTGCTTTCAAACCGCTGGGTTGGCAGGAGCTGGAACCAGAGACGGGAGCTCACTCCGTCATGCGGCACACTCAGGTCTCGAACTACTGAACTACGGACCTTCCGGTCTGCAGTTCAGTAGCCACTGATGGACCTTTATGTACCCAAGTCGGGAGGCAGTCCTGGCCTGTAGAGTATTTGATGATATATGACTATATGAAGTTGCCCTATACTACATAAGACAGTGTGGTGCTGTGTTTCAAGTGCTGGAGTAGAATCTGAAAGACCCAGGTGTGAATCCCCCACTCTGCCATGGAAGCTCACTGGGTGACCTCAAGCCGGTCACACACTCTCTTGCTTGGCCTACCTCACAGGGTTGTTCTGAGGGAACAATGAAGGAGAGAATGATTTAGTCACTTTGGGTCCCCACTGGGGAGGAAACCAGGGTATAAATGAAATAAATCAATAAAAAACAAATAAAGAAGAAGAAGAGATTGGATTTATACACCATCCTTCATTACCGAAAGCGGCTTACAAACTCCTTTCCCTTCCCCTCCCCACAACAGACACCCTGGGAGGTAGGTGGGGCTGAGAGAGCTCTGGGAGAACTGCTCTTTTTAAAGATCAGCTCTTGTCAGAACTATGGCTTGCCCAAGGCCATCCAGCCAGGTGCAAGTGGAGGAGTGGGGAATCAAACCCGGTTCTCCCAGATTAGAGTCCGCACACTTAACCACTACACCAAACTGGCTCTAAATAAATACACCACTGGCTTTAAATAAATACACCACACACTTAACCACTACACCAAACTGGCTCTAAATAAATACACCACAAATACCGGCACCACTGGCCTAAATCTAGCATAGCAGTATGTCCTACTCAGATTGCCAGCAGCTCTCCAAGATTTTGGGCAGAGAAGAGTCTTTCCC